CACAATGTCCAGGTTAACACTGATCATCAGCGGATCTTGCGCATGCCGACATATGATGCCACGAACGCCCGTGCCGTGTGCCAGGTAGCGACAGCGCATTATTGCTGTCTGCTTCTGTCCTAGAAGCACGAAACTCCGCGCCGGGAGTGTAGCATCAAGGCCACGATCACAGCATCCAACTAGAACTTAAAGAGGCTGTGCCTGGACAGTGGAGGGAGACTGCACAGATGCGACCTGATTGCCCGCGAAGAGACATGAGAGCTTGAAGATTCTGCAGGGCGAGGTCTGCAACGACGCGCACCCGTTAAGTAGCTCATTTGCCGAGCGCATGTCGTCGTCGTCGTCGTCGTCGTTTGCTCACAAGCATCTACAGTGTGCGGTGTGCATGCTGCTGCAGCAACCAAGCAATGCATCGGGACGCAGTGTGCATGGCCACACGAAGGCATCACAGCTACAAGCGCCAGTCTCACCCTGCCGGGAGTAGACAGGAACTCACCCAAACCACTGATTGCGGATGTCAGTTTTGTGTGCATGGTTTTTGTGAGTAGTACCCATATGGACAAGTTGGCTGTCAAGATGTGTCAACCGTCAATGCAATGCAATGCCAGGAAGAGATCGGAAGCGCTCTGCAGAGCGAGTTCGAAGAGGCCATTCTGAGGTTTGCACACGCACAGTCCAGGCAGAACCTGTCAATGCCTTCCAAAGCTTGGGCTTCCTCAAGTGACCCTTCGTGGCCCTGGCGCTTCTGGCCGAATCTGCCGATCGGGAAACCTTGCGGTTGCATCGGTTGCATCCCACTACTGACCGCAAGGTCTTTGGAGAGCAGAGGAGAGGAGTCTACGTAGTCGATGCTACGTCTCACATGCAAGACCGCCGAGAATGATTTCGGGATCAGAGTGCCTGAAAAGCCCTTCCCGGAAACTCCTGGAAGTATCCGGAAGAACACAAGACCTCAAGAAGAGGCGCCGCACAAAGCTGAAGCATTGGCTGGCTTATGCTGGCTTAACAGTAACTGTAAGCTGGGATCCTGCATCCTGGCATGGTGACTCGACTCTGAAGCTGGATTCCGATAATCATCTGGATTTGTAAGGGCGGTCTCCTCCAAACAGGAGCTCTGTGGAGTGGGGGCGGGGGCCGGGGGGGGGTGGGTGGGGGCGAGGGTTGCACCGGAATGCCATGAACAGCGACAATTGCAGTGACATTTACGACGACACCAAACCAAGGTTTCTCACCAAACACGTCCGCCATTTCCGCCTTGCCGCCGGAACTGCGTGTTTGCTGGAGGATCTTCCAATCTTTGCGAGCGATGCAAGCGCTGCAAGTCCTGCGAGTGGAAGTGAGGATGCCCCGGCAGTTCAGGACGGGGATGTGACATGTGTTGCAGCCCTGGGTTGGTGCAAGAATTCTAGCCTGGCTGCTGCGTGGCGCAGGTTCATCGATCACTCAGCGTTGAAGAGGCCCCCATGCATGCAATATCTTTCGTCGTCACAACTTCCGGCGTCAGCACCAGGAAGCATGCCAAATTGGGTTGTGGGATCTGTAGACCGTAGAGTCCCTGGCAGTGGCATGCTGCAGTGATGTCGCTGATGCATCATGAGATATCATGAGTGATTGCCGCAACGGGAACAGGTTGTCCGTAACGGTAACTTTAACGGTGTCAAAGTAGGGGAACGAAAACCCCCCTCAACAGAGTTCCTTCAAGAGTTCCAGCCTAGTTTCGGTTGCCCGGCTTCCCGGCAGGTCCTGTTACGGTGCAGGTGCGGTCCCTGTTTCTACCCCGTTGCGACCCTCCGACATGGTTTCCGTTGCTCCCAACCCGGGTTCCTGTTACTCCCCGCACCCATGCATCATCTTTTCCCGCATGTTTTGTCATTTGTTGATTCATACAAATCTTTGACTAGATGGTGCATCGAATGAACAGGCTGAAGCCAGCCATAGCCAGCCTAGATCAATGGCAATTCAACAAACCTGGGTTTGCAGGCAGAGCCCTCGCAGCCAAGTGCATCCAGTCCTACGGAGCCACCGCAGCTCTGTAGGATTTCAAGCATTCGCTTGGGCCGCTCGGAGCGACAGAAATCTGTTTGTACATCCCATCCGAGGCAACCGGCAAGTGTGGGCGACAGGAATCTCAGTTGCAAAGGTGGTTTTACGCGCAAACACGGTTTGCTCTCGACTACATCAAGGCTGCAGGCAGCCATCCAAGCCCGCATCCAGGCCAGCTTCGAGCTTGAGTAGACAACGCGGCTTCAAAGCCCTGTGCAGGCAAAAAAGGCCGACGTGGCGAGCGCACCGGTCCATCTCCTACTGCCGCCTCAGCTTTTCGGGTGCAGCTCACACCCACCAAGGACTTGCCACAGGCAGAGCAAACGGAGGAGCCGCCAGCGCAGGCCGTGGAGGTAGAAGAGGAAGAGGAGGAGGAAGAGGGCGTACTGGAGGTACTGGAGGACTCCATCTGATCCCGTTGCCCTTTGTTACATTAGTGTCAGTTCTGTGTTCTGGCATCCGATATTTGAGCGCGAAGTTCTTCGCAGGACTCTGATGGCCATGAGAGCTTTGATGGTAGTCAGGGGTCCGGTTGGTAACTGCTGGGTAGATGAGCAGTTCAGCTCTCCTGTCTTAAAGGGACAGGAAGCTTTGTGACCATTGTACAGACATTGTGAGCACGCACGATGGGGGAGTCAAATCTGCTTGGGACAGTCTTCGCTGCACAAACCGACTCAGGCTGCACAACAACGGTTGGTCGATTCCTGGATGTGGCATAGTTGCCGGCTCAAGGCCATGATGAATGCAGTGTAGAAAGAGTGCCGCTTCGAGCTTGATTTTTGCGTATTTTGTAGCCTGCGACAAAAAGCTCGAAGCTCAGCCAGTATTCAGAGCCGTTGCTTCCCAGCGCCACAGCACTTCATACATCTGCGGTAGTGCATCAGGCACACGTAAGTGGCAAGGGGGTTGACGGCGTTTCTATACGTCGTGCCGACACATTTAGGGAATGCTTTCCCATTACTTAGTACGTTTTAGAGAGAAGAATAGGAATGACCCCTGCGACATTGGTGCTCGATCAGACATCGTCAGTTTCTTCCTTCGAAAATGTTAGTCAGGACTTCGGTGCAGTGCCATAGCCCGATGAGTAACGGTAGCAACGGCAACCACACGCAACAGCAACTGCCCAAGCAACAAGTAGCAGTGGCAGGCGTGCCGGCGGCAACAGCAACAACAACCAACAGGAAGAATCAACGTTTGGAGAACATGACATGCAATAAGCAAGAACGTCACCACACAGGCATACAAATCTTGCTTTCTTGTCTAATGCAAAGTCGAGAGCTTCGCATCAGATCTTGTTCTGAGGTCGCCATGGGTCAAGGCATTTGCAAATGCGAGGACGATGAGTCGTCTAAGTCTGCCAACATTGACGTTACCTCTGCGACTTGGTGGCAAAGATAGCCGAACATGAAAGCACGAGGTACGGCAGTGCTGAGCTCGTAAGGTCCCAGTGCTGGCCGACCAGGTCAAAGCCGCAAAGGCAGCGCACCTGGATTGGAAGCGGACTGTTACAGCCTCTTCGTCTTCTGTCTCCACTGGTTTTCTTCTGGATCACTCGCATGATACCGGCCTTTTTTCTCAGCCTGCTCTACTCCCTTGCCGGCCGCAGCTCGCACTCCTCCAACGCGTGCTACTGCCCCGCTAGTCCATCGGTGGTCGACTTTCACCACATTTCATAACACAAACCTGGCAATGTACAGCACGACTCCAGCAGGCCAGATTTTGTTCGCCCGTCGCGGACAGACGCCAGTCTGTGTGTCGGCGTCCGAACCCGCGTTCCATGCTTACCAGACGTATGGGCGGACCGTCCCCTTCCCGTAACATGCGGCATGCTTACCAGACGTCTGCGCAGATCCTCCCGTTCTCGAGATCTGTTGCTTCACTTTTTGATCGTCGTGCATAAGACCACCGCACCAAGGCTCAGTTCATGGGAGGCGTCCTCGATGGCCCCTGGTTTCGGAAAGGAGACAATGTCTTCTTGGGCAACATCAAGGCTTGGTCATTTTGTCTTTCAATCAGAATCCGAAGGCACAAGCGGTCAGTATGGCACTGGAACGCTCAGGAGGAGAAGATGAACTGGGTGCCTGGATTCAACCATGATCCATGCGAGCTGAAAGAGGCCAGGACCCATGAGCCTGCGGTGTTGCCTCGAGCGCATCATCCAGTTACAGCTCTGCTTGCAGGTGGATTCTTTCCGGGTAAGTATATTTCTCGAAGGCAAGACCCACAGTGGAGACGCTTGGCATCACTGCTGAGTGCAAGGTTGGCACCACCGTACTTGCAACTGTGTCGAAGCACTGCGTCTTCTGGTGCTATGATGGTGGTAACGATGGTACGTTGTAGCAGCAGCAGCAGCAGCAGCAGCAGCAGCAGCAGCAGCTGCAGCAGCAGTACTGTAGCAGCAGCAGCAGCAGTAGCAGCAGCAGCAGCAGCAGCAGCAGCATGCAGCAGACAGCAGCAGCAGCAGCAGCAGCAGCAGCAGCAGCAGCAGCAGCAGCAGCAGCAGCAGCAGCAGAAGCAGCAGCAGCAGCAGGAGCAGTAGCAG